TTCTGCCAGGCATGGCGCTGCGCGCCTCCTGCGGCCTCCCTTGGGCCCGGCCACCAGCCGCCGCTGAGCGCGGGAGCGACGCCGCCAGCCCCGCGCCGGCGGAGGGAGAAGAAGGGGGGTATCCTCCCCCCACCTCGCGAGGCTGTAGCGGCCGCGCGGACCGCCTAGCGCCAGCCGCCCGGGGCGCGCCGAGGGACGCGCAGCGCGCAGGGGCGAGTGCGGGGGATGGATCCCGCATATGGCCCTTCCTCCTCCTGCTCCTCCTCCTCCTCCTCCTCCTCCTCCTCCTCCTCCTCATCTATGCCCCCTATGTCCTACACGAAGGCGGCCCGCAGTGTGGAGCACCTCAACCTACTAAGGCGCCTTCCCAGACATGCCAAGCTATCGACTGGGGACATGGGCACAACATTCAGGCAAACGATTTTTTTGTTGTTGGGAAGATCCGCGCCGTTGCCTGAGACCAGCGACCTCCCGAGACCGCCAGAGACCTCCCGAAAAAACCCTCTCAAAAGGACCCAACCAAGCTCAGTGCCAAACTTGAAGGAAGTTGAGCAAGGTGAACGGTGAACGGTGCCCGCACGAGTGTTCGCGCGAGGGGACTAAGTGGGTCGGGGCCGGAGCACCCACAAGCAAGCCATAGACTACAGGATGGAGAGACAGATGGCCAGCAGGTATTCTTCGAACGTGCAAAACTGTGCTCCAGCTCACTCCACGTTGGCGTACCAAGTAGAGCAAGGGCCAGAATCAAGTTGAAAACAATTAGACAGGGCCCGCGCAGGCGAGAGGGAAGGGCAGCTCCAGCACATGTTGGACTGGGGTTCCTTGCCCGCCCTGAGCCGACTCCTGGCCGTTTGAGCAACTCGGGCTGCAGTACAAGCGCGTCTAGCGACGGCGACACACTCGTGGCACAGATGGAGGGCCTCCCAACGCCCGTGCGCCCAACAGAATTTACAGAACACGATCACCTCTCCGCTCCCGGAAGACCGTTCCTGAGCGCGCCCCCCTGGACCCTGCATAACTGATGGGAGCGGTGTGCGAATATATTTCTGGACGGCAACTGGCCACGATCTGGGACCGTAAATCCTTCCAAGCCCCACAGACCTTGCAATCCCAACATCTCCCTGAACTAGCAAGCAAGCGGCCTTGGGGCCGAACTTTCGAACAGGAGGATTATAACGACGACGAGGAGGAGGAGGAGGAGGAGGAGGAGGAGGAGGAGGAGGAGGAGGAGGAGGAGGAGGAGGAGGAGGAACGGCGCAAGCAGCAGCCGCGACGGGAGCTGCGGCAGCAATGGCGGGAGCCGCACCCTCCCCCTTGAGCGCGTACGGCGGCCGCGCCTTGGATTGCAACCTCTCCGCCGCTGGCGCTGCCCCGCGGGACGGGCGAGGCCAGCTCCTCCGGGCTCCGGCTCCGGCCTCGTCCCCTCCCCAGGCCCTCGGCCAATGCTAAGGGGGCCACCGCTGAGGGTGTCGCCACCCCTCCCAAGAAACGGACCCCCCGCCGTGGACCCCCCCAGAACCCCAGGAAACGCACCCAGACTGGTCAAAAGCTCCTCGATGCTCGATCCTCCCTCCTGCTCCTCCTCGATCCTCGATTTCCAGGGCAGCGCTGGGTGTGGGACGGGGCGGCTCCGATGGCGCCTGGTCGCCCGACGCGCTGGAGCCGACAAGTCAAACAAAACCAGCGAGCGCCGTGGCCGCGTAAACTTTTGTGTCAGCGGCGGCGTGGAGACACTCAAGTGTCGAGGAGCAGCAGCTGGGCGGCGGCCGAACGAAATGCGCACCGAATGCGGATGGAGACGGGCCAGGGCGGCCGCGGAGGGGGACAGAGGAGGGAGCGGCATTTGGAGCGTGCAGCGCTTCACGCGTGGTGCTGGCGGCCTCAGGCTCCAGAGCGAGTCGTGCGAAGTGGCCGCAGTGGACGCGCAAATCGGAGCTGGGGCCAAACCAAACCACAGCCAGGGCCCTCGGCTCCAGCTGTGGTCGGTCCGTGAAGGCCCTTGGGCCCGAAACAGAGCTAGCGACGTCCGACAGCGAAATTTTTTTGGTAAATCCGCCGATCCGGCGTGTGAGTTTCTGAGAGCGTGGGCTTGAGCTCGCTCAAGCTTCGCTCTGGGGGGGGGGTCGGGATCCGGCGAATTATCCACGCAATTCACTGAACGCTCCAGCGCGGGGGGGGGGGTCCAAGAATCGAGGGGGGGGGGCTCGAGCGAGGACGGGGGGGGGTCGAGCTCAAGCAGGGGGGGGTCCAAGGAGGAAGCTCGAGCGGGGACGGAGGGGGGGGGGGGGGTCGAGCTCAAGCGGGGGGGGGGAGCTCGAGCGAGGACGGGGAGGGAGGTCGAGCTCAAGCGGAGGGGGTGGTCGAAGGAAAGCTCGAGCGGGGACGGAGGGGGGGGTCGAGCTCAAGCGGGGGGGGGTCCAAGAAACCACGGAGGGAGGTGTCGAGCTCAAGCGGAGGGGGGGAGCGGGGGGGGGTCGAAGCGGGGGGGGGGGAAGCTCGAGCGGGGGAAGGGGGGGGTCGAGCTCAAGCGGGGGGGGGGGTCCAAGTCCAGGAGGAAGCTCGAGCGGGGACGGAGGGGGGGGTCGAGCTCAAGCGGGGGGGGGGTCCAAGAAACCGGGGAGGGCGCTCGAGCGAGAGGGGGGGGGGGGTCGAGCTCAAGCGGGGGGGGGGTCCAAGGAGGAAGCTCGAGCGGTCGAGCTCAAGCGGGGGGGGGGGAGGTCCAAGAAACCGGGGAGGGCAGCGGGGGGGGGGAGGGATCCAAGAATCGAGGGGGGGGGAGCTCGAGCAAGGACGGGGGGGGGTCGAGCTCAAACCGGCGGAGGGGGGTCGAGCTCAAGCGGGTGGGGGTCCAAGAAACCGGGGAGGGCAGCGGGGGGGGGGTCCAAGAATTGGGGGGGGGGAGCTCGAGCGAGGACGGGGGGGACGGTCGTCGTTGTCCTCGTCGTCGTCGTCGTCGTCGTCGTCGTCGACGTCGTCGTCGTCATCGTCGTCGTCGGTCGTCGTCGTCATCATCGTCCGTCGTTGACCCGGTCGTCGGTCGTCGTCGTCGTCGTCATCGTCCGTTCCCACACGCATCGGGAGCGCCCCGGATCGGCGGCACTGGCCGGAGGCCATTACAATAAAGATAAAAAACTGCAGTGTAATATAAAGATGCTGAAATCTCACTTCTGAAAAATAATTATTGTTGATCCCACCCACCGGTGCAAACCGTTTTTCTAAATTAAGAAGTGCCCCTCGACGCTCGCACCCTGTTTTTTGACAGCTGTGCCCCTGGCCTCCCGGATTACAACAACAACGGCTCCCGCCTGAGATTTCCTCTAAATTTACTCAAGACCCCCGCTCCTGAGACTTCCTCACAATTTACTCAGAATCGGTGCTCCCGCCTATGACTTCCTCGCAATTTAGTCAGGATCCCCGCTCCCATCTGAGACTTCCTCACAATTTACTTAGGAATGGCGCTCCCGCTTGAGACTTCCTTGCGATTGAATCAAGACTTCCTCGCAATTCAATCAAGACCCCCGCTCCCGCCAGAGAGCTCTTCACATTTTACTCAGAAGTTGTGCTCTCGCTTGTGACTTCCATGCTTTGCTCTTCGGCACCGCCTGTATTCCGCGCCCTTCGGCCGCCTGAGGCCCCGCCCGCCCGCGCCCTGTCTCCCCAATTAGTGCTTCGCGCGCCCCGCTTAGCTCCTAACCGGAAGAGGCCCGCTCCCGACCCGCCAACCAAAAAAGTGACTTTCATGCAACTTATTCAGAAATCGCGCTTTCGACGCTCAGGAAACACGCTGCGCCAAGGACGCGGTTACAACTTACTTAGTAATCGCGCTCTCGCCATACTCAGGCACCCCGCTTGAATGTCCCACCCGCCCGACCCGCCCGTCAGGGGATCGCCCGCCCGTCGTGGGCTCGTCCGAGACTTCCTTCAGGAACGGCGCTTTCGCCTAGGACTTCCTCGAAGGTTCACGCTCTTACCTTCCTGCTCCTCCTCCCTCTCCCTCCTCCCTCCTCCCTCCTCTCCTCCCTTCTCTCTCCCTCCTCTCTTCCCTCATCCTTATGCCTCTCTGCCCTATCCCCTCTCCCTCCTCTCCCTCCTCCCTTCTCCCTCCCCTCTCCTGCCTCCTCCCTCCTTTTTTTGTTTTCTTTCTCTTTCTTTCTCTCTCTCTCTCTCTCTCTCTCTTCTTTCTCCCTCTCTCTCTCTCCCTCTCTCTCTCTCTCCCCTCTCTCTCTCTCTCTCTTTCTCTACCTCTCTTATCAGACTTTCTCTATCTCTCTCTCTCTCTCTTTCTTTTTTTTTGTTTCTCTCTCTCTCTCTCTCTGTCTCTAATCAACCGCCCCCCTCTTCGCTCCTTCTCTCCTGGTGTTTTCACTCTTCCCTCGTCCCTCCCCCACCCTTCCTCCCGCTCTCCCTCGTTCTCCCCCTCCTCTTTTGCAGGGCCCACACCAATTTCAATGGCGAGCACATGTACGCCCACGAAGGATTGTCCGCCCGTTCAGGTTTGCCCGCCTGTCTAAGCCCGCCGCCCCCCGCAAAGAGAAATAATACACCCAAAGGGGGTGTGATCGAAGACACAAAAGGCGGGTATCGAGGGTGTGGGGAACTCGTTTTGAATGACACGCGGGCAAGTAAGAGCGAACAGTCTTATAATGATTGTTGTTGTTGTCGTTGTCGTCGTCGTCGTCGTCGTCGTCGTTGTTGTTGTTGTTGTTGCTGCTGCTGTTGTTGTCGTCGCAGCTGAAGAACAATTCTTGTTGATCCCCCCTCTGGTACTGAAGTGCTTCCCCGGGGCTCGCACCCTGTTTTTATTGAATCGCTTCGCTCACTCCGCCGGCCCATTTCGCATGACTGAGCCTTTTGGGGCCGCTGGGGGGCCTCTTCAGCGTCGCTTGGGGGCCTCCTGAGGGCCTCTTGGGGGCTTTTGGGGCCTTTCAGGGGCCTCTTGAGGCCTCCTGGGGGCTTCTTAAGGCCGAGGGCTCGAAGTTTTGTTTTGTGTTCCCCCTTTGGGGCATCGCTTGGGGCCCTCTTGGGCCCCTCTTGGGCCGTCTTGGATGCCTCTGGGGCCGTCTTGGAGCCCTCTTGGGCCATCTTGGGGCCTTCTTGGGAGCTTCTTGGGCCCTCTTGGGGCGATCTTGGGGGCCTCTTGGGCCGTCTTGGGGCGTCGGGAAGCCGAAAAGATGGACACGCCAAAATCTGCCCAAAACCTAAGGAAAAGTAATGAATTTTGCCTCTTGGGGCCCTCTGGGGAGTGCTCTTGGAGGCCTCTTGGGGCGTCTGGGGGCCATCTTGGGCGTCTTGGAACGATCGTGTGGCATCTCGGAGCACTCTTGAACCATCTTGGAGGGCTCTTGGCGGCCTCGTGGCCCTTCTTGGGGCTCTCTGGAGGGCCACGGGGGCGGCGCCCAGGAGGAAAACCATCTCTGACCCGAGTCTGCCGGGGATCGCCCGGGGTACTTTTCGTCCGGGGACCCCCGGGGGCCGCCCCGCACGCGCGAAGTAGAAGTATTACTTAGCAGTTACCGGAGATCTTAGCACGCCTCTGGCCCGTTGGGCCGGCGAATTAGGGCAAATCATGGGGCTCAAGCTGCGTTGTTGCCCCCGGGATTACAACAACACTCCCGCCTTAGACTTCCTCACAATTTAGCCAGGACACCCGCTCCCGCGTGAGATCCCCTCGCATTTAACCAAGGAGTCAAGCTCTCGCTAGGGACTTCATTCTCATTACAATTTATTCCGGAACCGCTCTCCCAGCGTTCTGGAGTTGCGCTCTCGCTGCAGACTTGCCCCTCGCTGTCTTTCGTGGCCCCGTTGCAGTCCTTCGTGGCCCCTTCGCTGCCCTTCGTGGCCCCGTTGCAGCCTTCGTGGCCCCGTTGCAGCCCTTCGTGGCCCCCTCGTTGCCTTTCGTGGCCCCGTCGTCGCCCTTCGTGGCCCACTCGCTGCCCTTCGTGGCCCTGTTGCAGCCCTTCGTGGCCCCCTCGCCTTCGTGGCCCCGTTGCAGCCCTTCGTGGCTCCCTCGCTGCCCTTCGTGGCCCCCTCGCTGCCCATCGCGGCCCCATATATGTATGCCCTTCGTGGCCCCCGCTCGTTCGCGCCCGTCGTGGCCCCATATGCATGCGCTTCGTGGCCCCGCTGTCGCCCTTCGTGGCCCCCTCGCTGCCCTTCGTGGCCCCGTTGCTGCCCTCAATGGCCCCGTCCTCGTTTTTATGCGGCGCAATCTACGCATGCCCTTCGTGGCCTCCGCTCGTTCACGCCCGTCATGGCCCCATATGCATGCCCTTCGTGGCCCCGCTGTCGCCATTTGTGGCCTCCTCGCTGTCCTGCGTGGCCCCGTTGCTACCCTCACTGGCCCCGTCGTTGCCCTCTGTGGCGCCGCATTGTCTGCCCTTAGTGGCCCCCGCTCGTTCGCGCCCGTCGTGGTCCCATAGGCATGCGGCCCCGCTGTCGCCCTTCGTGGCCCCGTTCCTGCCCTTCGTGGCCCAGCTTTCGCTCTCGCTCTCGCTTTCGCTCGTCGTCGTCGTCGTCGTCGCAATCGTAATCGTCGTCGTCGTCGTCGTCGTCGTCGTCGTCGTCGTCGTCGTCGTGGTCGGTCCCCTGTCCGTCCCTCTTGGGGTCGGGTTGCCGCCGATCAACGTTGCCGCTGGCCAGGCCGACGGTCCGCGGCCGCCCCGCCGCTTGCCAGGGCCCTGCCTGCAGGGAAGAAAGATACACCCCCTAAAGGGGGTACGATCGAAGACGAAAGGGGCGGGTATCGAGGGCCTGGGAAATACACGTTGAGTGACACTCGAGCAAATAAGAGCGAACAGTCTTAACATGATTGTTGTTGTTGTTGGTGGTGGTGGTGGAGGCGGTGGTGGTGGTATGTGTGTGTGGGTATGTGTGTGTGTGTGTGTATGTGTGTGTATGTGTGTGTGTGTGTGTTTTTGTTTGCGCGTATTTTTTCAATCCGCGCGGCCTGAGAGGTCCATAGGTCACCTAATTTTGCGCAGCGCGCCGCGCGATGCGCGGTTATCTTTGCGCCCTCGCGCCGCCCACTGGAGAAGGCCAGCTCGGCGGGCCCAGCCGCGAAGCGCGAACCGTGGTCATCTTCGCGCGAGGCGTGGTCATCTTCGATGTCCCGACACCTTTCCTTGGGGCATTTCTTCGTCCCGGGCCCGTTCCTCATGGCCTCTGCGGCACGACCAGCGGGCTCCGGAGGAGGCTGGAACTCGAGGAATAACGCGCCGGGGCTGAAAGCAAGTCACACCGCCAGAAACCTGGGACGGCTCCAGACATCAGACGCTGCCATTCTTTCGCAACGTGGCTCCCCAGAGGTCCCAACCCCTTGCCCAAGACTGGCTTTTCATCCCGAGCTGTCTTTTGGCGTTCCCGTGGCCCGGCGAAGGCTCCCATGGGCCGAGGATGACCAAACGCCTCCCGTCGTGATTTTTCGCACGACGGCGACGCCGACGGCGACGCCGCCGTTGCCGGAGGAGGAGGAAGAGGAGGAGGAGGAGGAGGAGGAGGAGGAGGAGGAGGAGGGGGATGGGACAGCTTCAAAGGAAGCCCACGGCGCCGTCCAGCACGCTGGACGACGCCGAAGGCCACCAGAAGTTCGGTCTGGGCTCACGGCCCGCTCGGCCCGCGCGGCCCCCCGCGCGCGCCCGACGCCCGCACCGGCGACGCCGTGCCCGCCGCCTCCTCGCCGTCGTCTGCTGGCTGGTGGGGGCAGCAGGGTCCACCCAGCCGTGACGACGGCCCCGCGGGGCGCCGCACTGGCGGCACTCCCCCGCCCTCTGGCCACGCCGGCGGCGCCAGTGGCGCGTCCGCCTGCCCGCTCTGCCTCACGCCCGCGCCCGTCATGGCAGCAGGGGTGCTGGGGGCGCCGCCGCTGCCGCCGCTGGCCGACGGGCGGGTCGTCTTGCCGCGGATCCTCCTTCGCACTGCTGTCGCGGGCGCGCCGTCGGCTGCGGGCGCGGGCGACGCGGGCGTGCCGCAGGGCGCGGCCGCGCGGTTGGGGCTCGGCGAGCGGCCGCCACGTAGCCTTCGGCCCACGGCCTCGGCGGGGCCCTCGCCATGGGCGATGTCCCGCGGGGCATCGCACGCCGCGGCTGCCACGGCTGCGCCAGCCATCGCGCTGGCCGCTGCGGCGGCCAGGGCCGCCGCTGGGGCCCCCGGGGCGGCGGCCGCGCCACTGGTCTGCGGGGGGTCCTGGTAGTCCTCCTCCTCCGAGGCCTGGCAGGGGCGGCTGCCGGAGGAACGGTCCGGCAACCCAAGCTCGGCGGCGTCCGCGAGCGGACCAGCAGCCCGCCCATCGGCCCCGGCGGCCTGCCCTCCAGCCTGGCTGGGGCGGTTGCCGGAGGAGCTGTCCGGCAACCCCAAGACGGCGGCGCCCGAGAGCGCCCCGGTAGCCCGCCCGTCGGCCCCGGCGCCCTGCCCTGCAGCCAAGCAGGGGCGGTTGCCGGCCTCCGGTGCAGCGGTGGGGCTCGGGCCTGCGTCGTCCTGTGGGCCGTCCCCCGCGAGATTGCAACGAGCTGCTCCGAGGAGGTACGCGACCTTCTGGCCGAAGGTACGCTCGTTCGCGGGCGGCTGGGCCAGTCTGGGGTCCAAGGCGGGGGGCACGGCACTGCGGGGGGGCGGGCTGGGCTCCCTGGTGCCTGTGTCTTCCGCGGGTGGGCGGTGGCGGCCTGGCGCGCCAGTGGCCGCGTTGCAGTACAGGACGACGGCGCCCGAGGCCGGCGACGTGTAGTCGGGGAGCCATAAGCGGGGGCCGAGGGGGCCTCCTGCCGCGGCCGTCGGCGCGCCCACCTGCGAGCCCTGCGTCTGTGCCTGAGTGGCGGGCCGCTGCCGCCGCGGGTGGCCGCTCCCAGGGGCCCTCTTGGCCTCCGTTGGGGCGGCCGCTCCAAGGGCCGTGCCGATGTTCTCGGCGCCTCCCGGGGCTGAGGCCGCACGCCTCCTCCGCCTGCCTGGTCGCGGCCGGGGGCCCACCTGGCTCACTGACCTGCCTGCGCGAGGGCCGCTGCGCAGCCTGGATGGCCTGGCCGTGGAGGATTCCGATGACTGCCTCGATCTGGCCCGCCGTGGAATTGTCGGTGGCCTCCTCTGCGTGCTGCGGCGGGTCGGCGGGGGCCAGGGCGCCCGAGACGACGTGGGCGCGATGGTGGCGCTGATGCGATTGGCCTGCGCGATCGCCTTGGGGGGGCCGTGGTACGAGGGGTAGACGCCCTGGGCGATCCTCTTCAGCGCCTCCGCGGTCTTGCGCGTCGTCGTGCCCTTGCACTCTGACCTCAAACCCATGCCCAGCGTGGTGCCATAGGCTCCGCAGGTGCCGCAGAAGAAGAGGCTGTTGGCAGGCCACTCGTAGAGGCGGTGCGACTCGTGGGCGGCCCCTGTGCCCATGCAGACGGCGTTGCCTGGCGGGACCCTGCGGACGTGGTCGAACGTGGCCCAGTCCGCCGCCGTGGCGTCGCAAGGTGTGCGGGCCGCCTCCAGCAGCGAGGCGGAGGCGAAGACCTGGCGGCAGAGGAGGCACTTCCACTTGCCCTGGCCGAGCGCGACGATCTGGTGGGCGGAGGTGTCGACGGCGTCCTGGAGGGGCGACAAGCGGGCCACCTGCTCCGCCGCTGGCCTCTCCGTAAGCCATGGGTCACCTCCAGCGGCGTCCAGCAAGGCCTGTCTGGCCCTGCGTCTGACCTGCGACACGATGACGTCCCAGCGGTCCGCGTGGGGGGCGCTCGCGCTGGCGCCGCTCGCGGCGAAAACGGAGGAGGAGGAGGAGGAGGAGGAGGAGGAGGAGGAGGAGGAGGAGGAGGAGGAGGAGGAGGAGGAGGAGGAGGAGGAGGAGGAGGAGGAGGGAGGAGAAGGAGGAGGAGGAGGAGGAGGAGGAGGAGCGCCGCCGCCGCCGACTACGACGTCCAACGGCGACCGGCGGAGGCTACCGTGGCCGCGCCAAGCGGCGGCGGGGCGGGGCGGGCGTCCTGCCACAGCTCCGGGCCGAGCAACGAGGGGTCCACGGCCCAGGAGTCGCTGCCTCGGCAGGGCGTACCCGCGACCGCCGCCGCTGCCGTGTCCGTCGCCGTCGCCGTCCTCGTCGCCGTCGTCGTCGTCGTCGTCGTCGTCGTCGTCGTCGTCGTCGTCGTCGTCGTCGTCGTCATCGTCATCGTCATCGTTATCGTTATCGTTATCGTCGTCGTCGTCGTCGTCGTCGTCGTCGTCGTCGTCGTCCTCGTTGCCGCCGCCGCCGCAGACGACGTCGTCGTCGTTGTTATTTAATCGCTTCGCTCATTCCGCCGGCCCATAATGTCGCACCGTGGTCGCCTGTCCGAGTGGTCGTTTGCAGTGTGGAGCTGCGGCGTCGGGAGCTGTGTAGTTGTCGATAAATCTGTTAATGTTTTTTCATGGGGCTTCTAGGTGTTTGCAATTTTTTGACGGCTTTGGTGCCATCGTGGGGGCGTGTTACCCGTGGTATCCCGCTGTGGGGCCGTTCGAACCGGGGGAAGAGACATCTTTTGCAATAGGGGAACCCTCGTGTCGGAGGGTGGCGGGCTTTGAATGCTAACGTTGGCTCTGTTATCGTCCTGATGTCCTCTGGCGTTGCGGACACGGGCGTGAAGGAACACTTTCTTGTGGCGTTTCTCTTACCATCTCTTTTCTAATTGGACCGGAGGAGGAGGAGGAGGAGGAGGAGGAGGAGGACGAGGAGAAGGAGGAGGAGGAGGAAGAGGAGGAGGAGGAGGAGGAGGAGGAAGGAGGAGGGGGATGAGGAGCGATGAGGAGCGCCTGTGTCGTCGTCGTCGTCGTCGCCGCCGCCGCCGCCCACCGCCGCCGCCCGCCGGCGTCGTCGTCGTCGTCGTCGTGGAGGGTCGAGGCTCGAGGCTGGAGGCCGAACGCGGGGGAGGAGGACCACCCCGACCCGCGTTTCCCAAGTCGCGTCTGGCTGGAGTCTTGGAGGCGTCCTGGGGGCCTCCTGAGGGTTTTTTGGAGGCCTCCAGAGGGCCTTTTGGAGGCCTCTTGAGGCCTCTTGAGGGCCTCTTGGGGGCCTCTTGGGGCCTTTGAGGGCGTCTTGGGGCCTCCCGGGGGCCTCTAAGGGCCGAGAGCTCGAAATTCTGTTTCGTGAACCCCCTCTTGGGGCGTTCTTGAAGCGTTCTTGGGGCCCTCTTGGGCCGTCTTGGAGGCCTCTTGGGCCGTCTTGGAGCCGTCTTGGGCCATCTTGGAGCCCTCTTGGGGGCCTCTTGGGCCCTCTTGGGGCGATCTTGGAGGCCTCTTGAGCCGTTTAGGGGCGTCGGGGAACCGAAAAGGTTGAAACGCCCAAATCCGTCCAAAACCTATGGAAAAGCTTTGTTTGTGCCTCTTGGGGCCCTCTTGGGAATGCACTTGGAGACCTCCTGGGGATCTTGGAGGCTTCTTGGGTCATCTTGGAAACGTCTTGGGCCGTCTGGAGGCCATCTTGGGCGTCGTGGAGCGATATTCGGGCGTCTCGGACCTCTCTTGAACCGTGTTGGGGGCGTTCTTGGGGCCCTCTTGGGCCGTCCTGGAGGCCTCTGGGCCCGTCTTGGAGCCGTCTTGGGCTGTCTTGGGGCCCTCTTGGGGGCCTCTTGGGGCGATCTTGGAGGCCTCTTGAGCGGTTTAGGGGCGTCGGGGAACCGAAAAGGTTGAAACGCCCAGATCTGTCCAAAACCTTAGAAAACGCATTGATTTTTGCTTATTGGGGCCCTCTTGGGAGTGCTCCTGGAGGCCTCTTTTTTTTGTTTTGTTTTGCCGACCGCTGCGCATGGCGGCAGAGAGGATCTTTGTGCACTCGGAAGAATAGAATCTTCGGCGCACTATTCCAGCGCAGAAAAAGGACTTCGTGCACTCGAAAGAACAGAATCTTCGGCACACAGTGTAGAAGTCCAGCGTAGTTGGTGAGAGGAGGAGGAGGAGGGGCCGGAGGAGGGGGAGGAGGAGGAGGAGGAGGAGGAGGAACTGGAGTATGAATTCTCCGCGCGCGCGGCGAGTCGGCTCGCCACGCGGCACCTCGTCGGTCGCCCTTTGAGCAACCGGCTCCCCCGTCCAGCACCGTGCGTTGGAGTAGGGGGAGGGCGGGGGAAGAGGAGAAGAGAGAAGAGGCGGAGGAGGAGTGAGGGAGAAGGAGAGGGATGAGGAGGAAAAGGAGGCCCGGCTCCGCGGCCTTCAGTGCATGAGAAGGGGCTCTGAGGCCAGAGAGCCCCTCATGCGAGCCCCTGCTGCTGCGGGGAGCCGATTCAGCAAGAGCGTGCACACGCACAGAACAGGGTACAGCACACTGTATGGGCACCATCAAACCCAAGATTATGATGGGCACAATCAAAATTCAAATTGTGCTGTATGCCTCTTGTGCGCAACGAGTGAACTTACCCGGAGGACCGAGGAGGAGGAGGATAACGGGCAACGGCGCTGTGCGGACGTCCCATGCAGCCTAAACGGCTACTTATAAAGACAAAAGCGCACAACGGTATTCCAGAGGGGAAGAGGGAGGAAGGGAGACTACGAAAGGAAGAAAGAGAAGAGGAGGAAGAGGAAGCGCTCCGAGTCACAAGATGGCGCAATCGCACCTTTCAGTGCATGAGAAGAGGCTCTGAGGCCGGAGAGCTCCTCATGCGCGCCACTGCCGCTGCGGGGAACCGATCCAGCAAGAGCGTGCACACACACAGAACAGGTTACAGCACACAATATGGGCACCATCAAACTCCAGATTACGATGGGCACCATCAAACTTCAAATTACGCTGTATGCACCTTGTGCGCACCGAGTGAACTCACCCGGAAGGCTGGCAAGACCGGGAAGGCCGGGAGGACGTCGTCGTCGTCGTCGTCTCCGTGAAACGTCGTCGACGTCGTCGTCGGGCCGCGGGATACCCGCCAGTGGGCTGGGTCAATATTTACAGAAAGGTGGCTGCGCGCCAGATCACGACACCCGCAAGCGGGCTGGGTCAATCTTCTCAGAAAATCGGCTGTGCGCCAGATCACGACACCCGCGAGCGGGCTGGGTCAATCTTCACAAAAAGGCGGCTGTGCGCCAAATCACGACACCCGCGAGCGAGCGGGCGAATCGTCCCGCCCCTTCCCCGTGACACCCCTTACAAGGATATCTTGAACGGCGGCGGCGAACGCTCCTGTGCGCGGCTTTCGTCACAATTGCCCTCTTGGCCCCTGTCCCCAAGATGTCGCTTGAGGTCATTCGAGCAGCACCACGCGAATGCTGTTCGGATGGCGCGCTCCGCAGGATCGCTCAGCTCTGGGGGGATCGTCTGGATGATCACGTACAGTGTCAGACCGACGAAGACGCCAATGTAGACGGCGATTAGTAAAATTTCTCCAATCTCGGCGCGGTGTCGATCATGCGGTACGTCTTCCGCGTAGGCAGTGTTTGATGTGACGATCTGACAGCTAAACATTAATAAAAGCGCCTGTGTGGCCAGCAACTGCGCGCGGTTGTCACACTCTCGCTCGTACGGCTTGCAAAACGATAAAACTACGGCGTAGCAACAGGCAGTGCATATGGAAAATAATATGTAGCCAGTCGCAGTCTCGCCAGCGACAAGAGCAACGCTTGCGAGAAGCATTTGTCGATACATTGTAACACATTCAAACCACCAAGAATCAGCCTTATAATGCCCGTAGAGGGCACTCCAAGATCTGCCTGTTTCTTTCATAACTAGCTCATTCCAAGTTTCGCCATCGTCTGAACTGGCAACCAGCCTCTTCCGCCGTGCTCGTTTGATTCCGCGCCACATAAATACCATGTAGGATGCAGGTACGCCGATCGAAATTACCACGAATGCTGACATGGCCAAAGGTCGCACCACATGTGCGTATGACCGAGTAGAAAGACTGATACGGTAATCAAGGCGCAAATGACACTCTCCCCCATTGTATGCCTCGAGGGTGCAATCGAATGCACCTCCCTTGATCGGCATATGTGACACGATAACCAATGTCAGCGGCGTGTATGACAAATACGTGAGCCAAAAATATGGGAGAACCAATCGTTCCCCAATTCCGTGCCCATAACTGTGTTCTCTAATCGTGGACTGCAAACACGTCATGTTCGCGATTCGCTTGCACAATCTGTCTGAGAAGAAATAGAGCGTCAAAACAGTTGGTAATGTGGCAACCTTAATCACGAACACCGTGTCGGGCAACACAACGCACCCAAAACGGAGTTGCATGTCGGAGTTGACTATAGCGTGGACCCAGGAAGTGCATGAAGTGACAACAGTGTGAAACGCGTCGAAATTCGAGTCCAATATGTGAGGAAACGCGGCGTAGAGCGTAACTATCCATCCCGACGATGCCTGCAAGAAAAGGAACAATATCCGGCCTTGCACCTTCACTACACGCATGGCGTGCGAGGTCAACAACTTCTCAAGCCGACTCGCAGCCCCTGCCACTGACTGGCTCACTCTGGAAGCATGCGAGGCGACAGCAGTAATAGACACAGCAAAACTGTCCGCCAAATCGCCCGTGGAAACCTCAATGGCACTTTGATCTGGATCAGCAAAGTTCAGGATGTGGCTGGCGTCGGGTCCGAATTCCCTCAGCGCAGGCCAGATAATGGCGATCGCAGCGAACACTGCCATGACAATATAGAACCGAATCCCAGCTCCAGTACACGGTACGCAACGCGAGTCAGAGCGTCCGAATCCATCTGCGCAAATCGCGCATGCACTGCAGGTGTAGCCGTTTGGGCAGTTGTTGTCCTCTAGACATGCGCCATCCCTCTCGCCCAAGGGGCACTTGACAGGCATTGCATTGTCCCCAGCAGGGAGCCAGTGTCTCGAAATCGCGGACACCACAATTCCATCAACACACACGCCACCCTGTGGACAAGGCTCGCACGTGCTGCTCCCGACTAGCATTGTCCAAGCTGGACAAACGCAAGATGATCGGCTGTTGGTAGGCTGAAGGTCACCTGGGCATGCCTTGCAATTCGAAGCTCCTTGCTCAGAAACCGTGCCGCCTTCGCACTCCTGGCACAACGTGTCACCAAAATAATACTTTCCAGCAGCGC